CTGCCAACCTGTTAAAGTAATGTATATTTGAACCTTCACTGTAGAGGAAGTCTGCCAACCTGTTAAAGTAATGTATTTCTTCACTTTCTTTGAGGAGAAGGTTCTACCAACCTGTTACAGTAATGTATCTCTTCACTTTCTTTGAGGAGAAGGTTCTACCAACCTGTTACAGTAACGTATGTCTGAACCTTCACTGAAGAGAAACTCTGCAAACCTGTAATGTATCTCTTCACTTTTTTTGAGGAGAAAGTCTGCCAACCTGTTAAAGTAATGTATATCTGAACCTTCACTGAAGAGAAAGTCTGCCATTCTGTTAAAGTAATGTATCTCTTCACTTTCTTTGAGTAGAAAGTCTACCAGTCTGGTAAAGTAATGTATGTTTGAACCTTCATTGAAGAGAAAGTTTACCATTCTGTTAAAGTAATGTATCTCTTCACTTTCTTTGAGTAGAAAGTCTACCAGTCTGGTAAAGTAATGTATGTTTGAACCTTCATTGAAGGGAAAGTACCAGTCTGTTAAAATAATTTGTTCTAAGACCTGCATACTGAAATTTAAACAACATATGACAAGGTTGTTATTTGGTTCATTTCCTTCTTCAGGATATATCAAGGGAAATAAGCCAATTACTAAGATACCGAATGTTGTATCACACTATGTAGTTGGCTGTTCTGACATAATTGATGCATGTCTTCTATGAAGCTTATTGGGGCTCCAAAAATATAGTACGGAAAAAAGAACACAAGTTGAAGTTAGAAACAACAAAATTATTATGGACTATCAAACAGAACTCGGAAGATTCATAATATTTGTATTGACTATTTAACAATGAACATAAACACAATGAAAATGTGATTTTACAACATAACAGTGTATTTAGATAAACACAATTTTGAATTGAAACCGTACATTTGTGTTGTTATGAATGTTATTATTCACACAGTAGTGTGTTGTGAAATGGTACAATGTTTGTGTTAATTTAAACACAGTTTTCCTTATATTTTATGTGGAGAGTTGAGGTTGTAAGCTTACGAACAAACTCTTTTCGTACCTAAACATACAGTAGTAACAAGTAAAAGACAGTTGTAGATAGAAATATATTTAATTTTCTATTTGATTTCAGGGAAAATTAAATCACGGTTATGATTCTCGTTTTTTCTGATAATTGTATTTTATGACTTATTATTTTTTCATGAATTCAAATACAAAAATTTAAATTATTTTAACTTTCTTTCTACTTGTTTCCATCATTTTTCTCTAAAAGTATAAATTATTTTTGGGTTTATCTGGTCTAAGGTCGCATTCAAAAAATCTTATAATTGGTTATTGATAAATCATATCGTATAATAACATACCAACCTTATATTACATAATGTTAAATATATCATTTTTACATTAATTTCTTAATAACGTCATTCTTATACAAATACTTAATAAACATTACATTACTGAAGTAAATAAGGTACCTTTATTAATCCAAGAAAAATATATTAAATTGTCCGTGAAAAAATAGTAAACGTGAATGTGCGCTCACGACATGTAATTAAAAGCTCCGTCTAACAATGTTAACTTTTTTCTGTTTCCCATATATGGACTACGAATAGGGAGTTTTTAATTTTGCAAATTAACTATGTTCTTCTTTTAAAAAAGGAGAAGCGATAGTTTCAGCACACGTTAGAAAATGGTCAAACTTTGCGAGTTTAAATTTTGATGAAACTAAAACTTTTCCTCTTAGCTTAGTTTTAGTGAATACGTGAAACTTTTGGATTAATTTGTTAATCACCTTCCCATTATACAGATTAAATTTTATTTCTGTTTTTGGAGAGATGTATAAGATACAAGCCTTAAAAAATACAAATACCCCATTAAGATTTGATGGGTTTTTTTCGATCCCTGTCGTAACAAGTAGGCGTAGCAAAATTCTATCGAAAATTAAAAGCCTAAACACAGCTGTACTAGTCGATAAATATGAACCCAAGTTAAATCAAGGATACGACACACAAGAGAGTAGGAATGTTGCAGTAGTCGTTTAAATTCACATTTTTATATATACTTAAACAAATTTAGATACACTGGATTAGAGGGAAACTAAACACCCCATTCAGATTAAACAGTCAAATTGTTAGATTTGTGTTAGCAGAATTCGTATTGAACACATTCCTTCAAAGTTCCTGAAAGTGTTTTTCTTGTTTTTAACGTGTGAGTTACAGGCACTTCAATAATGATCTGAAAATTGTGTCATGTGTAATCATTTCTCTGTTACATTATTCTTCCATACAAATACATACATGGTGTGATTAGTGTTACATCATGGCGTCAGTATGATTACTGACTACATTAAGTTGTGTAATCAGTTTGATATGCTTGGTGTTAACAGTGTTACTTTATGGCTTTAGTATGTTAGTTGGCTTTACTCCATAGTTTGAAATACTTGATGTGAACAGTGCTACATCATGGCTCCAGATTACTGACTTTACACCGTAGTTTAAGCAGTTTTGATATACTTGATGTGAATAATGCTACATCATGGCTCCAGAGTACTGACTTTACACCGTAGTTTAAGCAGTTTTGATATACTTGACGTGAATAATGCTACATCATGGCTCCAGAGTACTGACTTTACACCGTAGTTTAAGCAGTTTTGATATACTTGACGTGAATAATGCTACATCATGGCTCCAGAGTACTGACTTTACACCG